CCTCACGTCAAATGTTTATCTTTCATCTGGCAGAGCGTTAATGTAAGTGCGAGTACACGTTGTAATGGTAGGGCGGCGACGTCGTCCATACATCTGCTGAGCACACCAGATCTCTGATTACGCTAGTGTACGTAATCATGATTGCCGATAACACTTTAAGTGTTAAGGCCAAGCTGCATTAATTTCACGGCTGATTACGTCATGATAGAGTAATCAAGTACGTGTTAAGTCCTGCTATACAGTGGTAGAAATCTTCTTCGGACTACTCAGAAACTGAAAAAATGTTACGTGAACATCAGAATTTTTGAAGATTTTGTTATAGTTTTAAAAACTACTAAAATAAATAACAATTGTGCATAGCATACGAAAAAAAACAAATTTTAATTTGCAACATTGCAAAGAGGCGGTAAATTTCACCATCATGATTCAAGAATCATCTACTACACTTTCTAGATTGGTACTAAAACAAAATGCTTTTAAATACATACATTAATAATATAACTTTATATTGAATAACATTATAATAACAATAGATAGAATAGAAAAAATCATGGGTTACAACAACTTTTTATTGGACATAAAAAAATAACGGCCTCTGTTACGTTTATACGACTGTTAAGTTTAGTCGTGAGAGTAATCAGCACATCGCATCTTAATTTTCCTATGTTTACTTAACGAATATCACACGCGTTTTATTCCCCTATTTATTTATTCGTAAGATCCAATAACACTGTAAATATTGTCCAACCATAACGTTTTCCCTTTGGACTAATCGAATGGAACGTTTCAATAAAAATAATGAGATCTCATTTTTGGGACAACTTGCTTTTTTGTTTAAGGTTTTCCACAATAATATTAACGATAAATTTCGTTACGTTATCGTGGATATGTATTATGTATGTTGCTTGAGTGCTATCGACATAGATTAAGTAATCTTGATAAAGAACAAAAATTTTATTCTGTCTATTTATGATCTCGTTCAAGTAATCGATTTGATGCCTAAGGTATCGTGTTATCAGTAATCAGAATAACTGAAACTGTAAAACTGATATTAGTGGTGAAAATATTATATAGCAAAAGTAAAGTTTCTGCTAGGTAAGTGACAAAAAGTTCACTGGAACCAAAATATTCCAGAAAAGAAGGGGTATGCGATAATAAATGTATGCAGTCTGTATGTCACGAATCATTGCAGGCTCAATTCTAAATGTGTATGTATGTGAAGCAGGTCTCATTAACAGTTAAGTAGCAAGTTTAACCTCGGTGGACTATACCACAATGTAAAGAGATAAAGACTTTAAATTTATAACAGATACTTGAAATTGAAATACGGAAAGAACATTATATATCCCTATTTTTGGTATCGTTTAATTTTTACTTTACATACATTGCTTTTTACTGGCGTATCTTACACAATATTTTATAGAGCCCGATCTTCCTATATCTTGAATCTAATAACGGGGCTGCTCGCAAAGGCAAAACATACATATTTTCCGGGGTTCGGTTAAACACAGCGACCTCTGGCGGACAATATTTTGCTCGGCTCCCGCGATATCGGTTTATTCAAATGCTCCTTGTCCGACCCGAGCTCAAAGAATCAACCTGCATAATTTTATACATATTGAAATTCTTCCACCCTTGAACGTCTACAGTATATTATACAGTATATTCATAAAAGAATAAGTTTATTGTACGCAGATGTACAAAATACCTGGTTTTACAATTCAAGAACTGAAATCAAAACATAGTCTTAAGATGTCATGTATAAATTGTTTTGATCAAAGTATAAAATTAAAAACGTAAAATATGTATTAAAGGGAAACATTTGTGGGACCGTGTGTTCAATCCACAACCTTGCATCACGGTCTCATGGGATAGAAACAAGGAAGATTAGATCGGACATAAGGAGAATACGAGAATAGTGTAACAATACTATTTTTTAATGACTTATAATTATAAAGTTGTATTTGTCTGTGGACCTCTATGGTACTATATGCTTATTTATTTACTTTTCCACAATCTTATATTTTTTCTTCTATTTTGTTTTATATAGTTTAATACATTAAACATCTATCCTGAACTCTGTTTAACATTTTTTTTAAATTCTATTCTATATTAAATTAATAAATGGTTAAACCGTTAGATATGTGCTGCTGCTTTCCCAAAATCAATGATTAATCTATAAAATTTCTATTAGCACATAATATAAAATACGATCAAAAAGCTACATATTTGATAAACAGTGAGGTTAAATTAAGGATAAATAAAAAAAGTACTGTCCAGCGTATCGGTTCTCAGGCATAATTCAATGACTTCTATCAGATATCGGTTTCTCCTCTGGGAAATTCTGTTTATTATTATTTGGCCGACGTCGACCGAGGACGAGCCACGCAGGCAGTGACAAACAATCCTGATTATATCACACCCACCACATCAAAGCCGCTAACATACTCCCGACTACTTCAAAAGCAAAATTTTATTAGTAGCATTTACATTTTTATTGGTATGCTAGGACACCGCCTGCCTGCTTCGTCCTGAAACGTAAGTGATTTTGAATTTTCTGATATGTATTTTATTATCTGATTTTATATGTCCTCAATATGACTACATATTACCATAGGAAAAACATTACGGTCACGTATCCCAAGGCTCTCTCTATGCAAATGGAACAAATACACATCGGCGGTTTTTTTTATCATTTAACTAATTTTGTTTACATGCTATTACTTATATTTATGTTAATAAAAAGAGAAGAAAAAGAAATTAGAACAGTTTAAGAAATTCGAGAATTTTTAATTCTATACTCTTTACAGAAGTGTTTGGAACCCTCTCTCACTATCATTAGACAACCGAAAAAATTGCAATAAATTAAGGAATAAAACATTTTCTTTAGGAAAACCATTAGGTAACAGACCATTGTCTGTGATATCTATAGGGCATGTTTGGGCGGTTCGTGATTGATTCCACTGTAATTTCCATACGCGTGCTCTGCTCATATTAGCCACTTTATACACCTACCAGTAGAACTAGACCTCTTTTCACCCCCTCTGCTTCATATAAATAACGTAATTGAGGGGTAGACGAAGGCACATTCTGAGGTCGGCCTAATCTAGCCACCTTTTCTAGGACTATACAATTGTATGCCGGGCGACCTCGCGGCGCCTGCCGAGTCACGCACATATATTTTTTCAAAGCCTTAAATTCTATTGCCATTTATTATACTGATACTACGTACCTATTATCAAAGTATGAGGAATCTGTCAAAACCTTTTGTGTAGACGAAACCTAAAATATGATATTTATAAATACGGATAGTGTTACTTCCTTTTAAAACGAAAATTATCTACCTATTACCGAATTCTAAAATAGTAGCCTTTTATTTTCTTTCGGTCGAATCAAACAGAATAAAGAAATATAATAACTAAACTTAATTATTTGATTACATGATGCATACAACAATCCAACAGCTAATTGTCCCTACCCTTAATCTACTCGGACGGGAAAAAAATGATATTTCTACTTTGAGTAATCAACGTGATATATGGACCCGTTGTACGTGCTTGGCGAGGACGTAGGCCTAACGACTGACGAACAATTAACGGACATAGCACTCATGTACGTATGTGGGTGAGAATTGGCGTAAATGCAGTTTGGACAAGCGGTATTTCCACATTTGTGACATATTTTTCAACTCTTTGTTTTCAGTTTCATATTTTATATCTCAATAGTTATGCTTGTGTGGGCTGCACTCACGTTTACTACATATATTACTGATTTAAAATAAACCATTTACTTCTAGATAAAGTTACTTTCTAATGGTGAAATAAAAATCAAAACCGGTTTTAAACTTCTAGAGATAATTGACTACAAACAAATAATCTTTCCTCTTCTTAATTTAAGTAACAGCTACCTGTCACACAAAATACAATGAAATAAGTAGAGCTGTTTCAGAAATCAGATAGAACAAACAGACAGAAATACTGATCAATATATTAAAACACACCTTCTACGAAAAGCTGTTAATATGGTCGTAAAAAAATTGCTATAAATTTCAGGGTTTTACCATATCATCAATTTTTTTTGCCACATTCAGCCTACGAAAGTGGTAATATAGATCGTTGAACGGAATAATGAAATGGTAATGCATTTGATTTGCATCATTGGAGTGCACTGGTTGTACCTAAGTGTGTGAAAAATATTAAGAGTAATCTAAAATTTAATTTTATTCTACCAAAATCTACACCAACATTTGTTTGTGAAGAAGAGGTTGAACATATTAGAAATTTGCTCCTCTTCGAGAAAAATAATTAGATACATTACTGACGTTGAAAATGAAGATGCTAATTTATATCAGAATTAATGCAACTTATAGTTTATTAAAGTACTAGTAGTAGTAGTAATCTTACTAAATTTGAGTGAATACTGGAATTCAGTTTATTAATTTCTTTATTATATTATTAAACATAAAAGAAAAACAAAGTAATCTTATCAAAACTTAAACATGTCTTAACATTTCTCCTAGATAGGACCACAGTTGTGAAATAAGTTACAATGACTTCAACAGAAAGTAATACCAAGCACATAAATAGTAATAGTCGTATATACGCGGGCTGAAACGCGGCGTGTGGCAACACTAATAACCTGCGGCGGGTGACAGGAACTGCCAACTGATATTGTCGTCAATTTGTTTCGGCTGTTCGCAAGTTGTCGCTGCTTAGGATGCGGCCGACGCTCGACCCGAGCCGCCCTAGCTTATGAACACACCACCAATAAGGACAACAAAGTTGAGATGTCAGCCGATTAGCCACGAGTCACATTATCATCCCTTTTTTCGTTCAAGGAAATATATTTTGTTAAAGTTTTTTGTCTAGGCAAATACTTTTGTGTGACACGTTTCCGTTTTGAAAACCTTCTGAAGTTAATGTATGGTGTTTTTAGATACTTAAGATAAAATACTAATTTGACCACCGTATAAAAATATCCAAAGGTTTATTCAATTCAAAATGTATGAGATCATCTTCAGAAAGTCCAATAATGTTGCTTACAACTTACAGGAATATTTAACCCCAGAAATAAACGAAGCGATAGTGTCAGTCACTATGGTGAGTCAATTCTGCTGTAGTAAAAGATCTCTAAGGTTCTGACAGCAGCACTTGCTCTAGTTTTTGTCATGGCCGTATATACTCTAAAGAGTTATTAGACCAGTAAAGGTTATTATTACCATTGTATTGTAGCCATGGCAGTGTTCTTACTGTCTGATGGCTGATAGATAAACTTAAACCGTCACCATCGTTAGGATTACATAGACATAGATCGTTAAATTAAACAGGTAAAATGATCATAATTTCAGTACTGAGTATCCTGCTTGCTTACTTGTTTGTATATAATGAAAATCAATATTCTACAAATTCTGAACTGGCTATTAAAGTTTTAACATTGGACTACAATTGTTGGTAGTAATACTAAGGAAAATGATAGTATTGTAAACGTATAGAGCAGCAGAAAAATCGTAGCCAGTCCTTTTAAAATCATAGAAGTATTGAAAAATATAAACTGGAATAGGTGTACCCCAATACCCCAAAGCACACTGTTATTTTGAAAGGTTATCTGGTCATTTTAAGTAATGCATGTATTTGAAATATTAATAACCGTCAGACTTTATCAATTCGTTGTCTTATAAAATTACAAGAAGAAAGGAGAACAAGAAACCGAAGAAACTTAGTGTGCTAAAAAAGATTGAGGCAGTATTTAACTTCGGCCCACCTTCAACTGTATAAGGCATAAGACCGACCGCATATAGAATACTGTTCTAATTTCTATGCAGGGGTATCCCAGTACCAGCTTCTCACTTCGGACCGCATCCAACGGTGAGCGATTTGAATCTTCGATAGCCAGAAGATCTCCGATCGTTTCGACTTAAAGCGAAGTAGAGATGTAGCTTCACTCTGCATTCTCCGTCGTATGTATCATGGAGAGCGCTCCTAGGAATTTTTCGAACTAATACCGGTAGCCACTTTCCGTTATTATTCCACACCTAAAATTTTCATCTCCGTCACTTGTATAATTGACACTATACCACTGTTTGCTTTTCAAACTGTTTGCAGTGTTTCAAACAAGCAATTTGTGACACGAATTATCGTCGGCGGTATTTGCGAGCCGATACGACCTTAAAACCGTCAAGAAAAGAGCGTGCTCTCAGAGGCCGACACGCGCTTGTGACTTCTGAGTTGCAGGCGTTCATGGGCGGCGGTAGTCGCTTTTCAAACGGGTGATTCGTCTGCTCGTTTGCCCCCTGTATCATAAAAAAACAACCTTCTATTCAATTTTAATTTTCTAAAATAAGGACACTAACACAGCGAACTTGATGCGAGAGCATATCAGGACCTTAAATTATAATTAAGTTAAATATTTTTGTCCAAAAAACATAAATTGTACATTTTATTTTATTTTACTGGTGTACCCAGGAAAATAAAATGAAATGTACAAATGTGTATGGTTGATAAAATAAAATTCATGTTAGTAAATGTAACTAAAATTATTATTTGAAACTCACATACATCTAAATCTCTATTTTACAATCTCATATGTTAACTTAAAAATATTTTACCCCTAAATAAATCTAATATCCTAAAATCCCAGCCCTATTATATCAAGACGTGCTATAAAAGGAGCATATAGATGTACTATGACACATCTTAACGGGCAGGGGGTGGCGGAGAAAGCCGTGCGGTGTAAAAAAATCCCCTAATCTAGTAAACAGGGGCTAAATGACTCACTTCACGGCGGGCGCCATGTATTCGGGGAAATTCAGGGGACTTAATCTTTACGAGATAAGTAAAAGGAGACATGACCCAGGTGCGACACAACGCCACGCGCGTAAATTGTGGGCCCTTTGTCTTTTTGTAATGTTACGTACCTACGAGGGCCTGCTGGTTAATTATGAAATTGAGACTCCTTTTAATAATATTGCCTTTGTTGTTTTGATATATTTTCGAAGATTTAAACTAGTCTTTAAATTTTGCTCAATATTTAAAGGCGGTAAGAGGTAGTTTTATTATGTATAGTTTTAACATAGTAAACAACGCGAGTAAGACTAATTAAATCCTTACCAACAATATTACACGTTCTAATTACTTACTTCAGGATATTAATTAAAAAAAACCACACATCACCAATAAAACATCTGAACCTTCGATCTCCGACCCACTAGGCCGACAGGCCTCACGTATTACAGGTCCATGTTATAGCAAATAACATTCAACGCTACTCTTGTGAATTCAACAGAGCACAACAGAATATGTCTATCTCGCTGGCTATAAGGTTTAATGGCAACGTACGTACGTACGTTACGTATTGGCAACTTACTATTATCACCTCTTTTATTAAGTAATCTTGTCTAAATATAACATCATATACAGCCTAGGAATGATTTTTTACAAAAGAAGGGCACATCAGCTTTCTGCTGGAATGGTAAGTACCGCCACATTCCATATTACTAGCGTTCCGGCGTAAGCTCACATTACCTTAAAGCAAACCGTGTAACAGTTTAAAAACATACAGGTATAAAAATGATATCTCTTGCCGACATTCTAGTGCTTTAACTATCTCAGATTTATAGTCTTTACCTGTTTTAGGGCCGTAGAGCCTAAGTCAGTAAGATAAGACGTCGTTAAATACAAAAGGGAATAAATCCGAAGTTAACATTTACAGCATTACCGGAACGGTTTTTCATGTTTAAAACACAGTATTAGGTGCGGGGCCGGTCAGGGCATAAGGCGTCCAGTGCTACGTGCGGCGTAATCGGTGCGCGGACCTCACTGAAACACGGAAAACCGTTCAGACAACCCCCTGATTTCACCCCACGCACCCCATCGTGCACACCCACCACTTTTACGATGAATCTTCGTTTCTCCGCATCAAGAAGTAATTTTAGTGTTCCTTTGCCGATTCAATGATAGCACTCGGCCTGATTGGTTAAACCCCTCTTTGATTTAATTTCGGGTTAAGTTGCTCTGTGGTCGGACCCTGAGGGATTTGGATACGTTTAGACGCTTAAGGATATTTGTATCAACTTTGTATACTCTCATAACGTGTTTAGAGTATTGTCTTTAATGTTTAGTTTATTCAGTCATATGTGAGGAGTAACTAGGGCATTGAAATATATAAAATTTAAACTTATCTTTAGCCCAGTTTCAACAGTGAGATTAAATTACAGATAAGGCGTCAAAATATAGTTACAAGGTTTTCATTCATAAAAAAAGACGAGTTTCTAAATGTCAAATGTCAGCAAATGTCAGAAGATTTTCTTGTCAATGGATAAGAAAAGTATTTGAAATAATCACGAAATATTCATTTAAGAGTAAGCCCATTGAAGGTTAGGTAAGGTTCTATTTTGATTAAAATCGTATTTTGTTATTGATTTTTCACTTCGTACAAATAATTTTATACCGAATTTACAAAAACCTGTTAACGTGATAACTCATACTCGAGGTATTGTCTCCTTGTGATGGATGAATTTATAAGTTCAGTTATGTAAATAGGCTATCATATTATTAGGGTAACATAAATATGAAACACTCACTATCTAATATCCTTTTTTTTGCGCTATTGGGTCAATCGACTCGCTTTTTAAACATTCTGTACTTAAAATTCTTACGTTTTTTTTTTTTACCGAAAAGTGATTGCTAAAAGCACAAAAAAGAAGATTTATAAATTAATATAACATTTCTTTTTAATTATACTCAATGATTAATGTAATAAATATTAATTCATACTTTTTGGTTTTTATAATATGACGTTGAATATTAGAACAATCAAAGGGTAATGAAAGACATTTATGGATTATGGCAATTCTATCTTTCGACGGAAATTAAACATAATATGACATATTACATATATGTCAGACAGGATTGTGAGTTCAATTAGTTCATAAAAATACTTCGCTGTGATAAATGGATAGACGGAAGGTTCGGAGACAAAAGAAGATTAATACTCGTAGCCGTTGTTATACCCTGTCATGCGTACATATGGAATATTAGTATACAGCGTGTAACGTAATTGTTCAATAAAACCAAATGATATACGAGTTGGTGCTTAACCACACAGCACAAAAATGAGCAGCCTGTACACAAATCAACAAGTGTTAGAGCTCCTGTTTCTCGTCGTACGATACTATTATTTTACAATACGTATTAAGATCTCTGTCATGTTGTATAAAATGCCAAAATATGTGTACTAACAATGATATTTTACCTTAATTTAATATTTTAATTTTTTGGTACCGATATACGAACATAATATTGTAGTTTTAAACTGACGTGCTTATGCCAATTTCGGTTTGATAGGTACTTATATATGTTAGTTAGTTATTAGCCAATTATTGCAAGTGAAGTGCGAATGATAAAATTTAAATCATCATCATCATCTCAGCCGAAAGACGTCCACTGCTGGACATAGGCCTCCCTCAAGACTCGCCACAGCAACCGTAAAATAATAATTCCAGATAAAACAGTCCGACTTTGCAGTAGATTGAATATTATATAATCACTTTATAGTGTACCATACAGTTATTTATGGCGTGGATTTGAAGTTACTATAATTAATTAGCAATTTTTTATGCAATTACCATTGATCTGGGCATGTCTTTGTTAGAACGGTAATGAAAGATATGCCTAAGTACCTAGTAAATAGTACTAATAATTGTACAATAAAAGAATCTACTCAATCATTATTAAATTTGGAAAAGTTATGAAAAGTTTACAATTTTAGTGGAACCCTTGTAATGGTATGTAGGAGCATGAGACAGTCGTACCTACACGTGTCGGGATCGTCACGCCGCACAGCGTCGCGTCCATGGGGCCAGTCGTCATGAATACGTAATACAAGAGCAGGACGCGAATTCTTTCGTTTATTATTCAATCATTCGTTCGGCGCGAGTCGGCTTTAATTTCATGCCGGGTGGGCACAGGCCCCGGGCGAGTGCCGCCCGGTCTCTTAGTGTGGAAGCGATCTCTATACTATTGTTAGAATTATGCTATTAATTAGAACATTGTGGCAGATTGTCGGAATTTATAGGGCTACCTCAAAACCGTTGGGTAACTTGTCTTTTAACTCTGCGCTAATAGGTTTCAACTGCGAATTTAGATATTTTCAGATTACCATTTGTTTATTATTTTACATGTTATTTGATTTTTTAGTATGCTGACTACTGTTATCCTATTACTAATCAAATATTGAGAATCACTAGTTTCATGCACTTTACGTTAAATCCAATTCACACCTAAAAATGTTCAATGCAAATTATTTGCGTATTGAACAGAGGAAGCAGTTTCCTTACTTTCTGTCCGTAACCGTTGAGTACTGAGAAAAAGACAATTCTTATTCTGAAAGGCGAAGCTGGTGAGGATGTGGAGGAGTGCGTGCCCGTTTTGATTGAAACCACCGCAGCCGCCCCCGATGCCATCGCGACCGACGCCGAATTGAAAACGCAAATTTAGTGACACATCTATTAACGGAAATGTGAAGAAGCCACCAGCAGAAAATAGGATGCGCAGAGGAGAAAATTCCGCATAAATGTAGCAATATTTTGTAAGCTACATTCTTATTTTAATAAACAGGTGTTACCATTATAAGTGAATTCAAATTTCCCCTTTACATAATTTTCATTAATGTATTTTACTAGGAAATTACCTTGCGTAGGAAATTGTCTTACCTAATAAAGAAGCTCTAGAACATGTTTACACATTTTAACAATATATTTATCTATAGTTTAAGAATGCATATATGAGATACAGCCAGATTTAGTTGTTATGGAAGGAATCTTGAAAAAATATTTTTACGACTATCAAGGGGAAAATAACATTAAAATTCAGTTGACGGTCACGCGACGTTGTACTGTCATGTTCCCTTATTCTCACGGCAAAGGCCACTCTAAAAACTTGTATGAGAATTGCAAATATTCTGATGCCGCTTTTTATTACACAGTAGTTTTCATTCATTAAGAAGTTTTAATTTTTAAAACTGTATCAAAATACCTAAAGAGATTTTTTTCCTTAAATAAATGTCTATCTAAATCAAGATTATGTATTCATGTTACATATTCTCATTTTTAGTGAAGACAGAAAAAATCCTTCACGACGTCGAGGCACCTAATACCTGGGCCGAAAATATTTCCATAATTTATTGACAGATCTTCTCTGTCTCGAGGCCGCCAATGTATGTAAGTAATGTGTCGCAACAACACGTCTAGGTCCTTGGACGGTCGCATTCACACACGATTCAAATAAAAAAGTCCACCATCACTCAAGTATGCGTCGTCATTCACTGGCTTGCCTAGAAATTTCACTTCTCTGACCCATTGTAATAATGTGGATACGCTGGATACGATAAAATGCTGGTACATGGTGACCGTCTAGACAGTCTCATGTTCCTTGTATTTTCCGTCACACAGGAGCCGAGACGATAAAATCTTAAGTGAATTACGTTTTGCATGTGCTTCCTGTCGTATCCACACAAAGTCGTACACGTCAGGCGTAACGTTAGCGTGATGTGAGCCCGGCTTCTACACGGCCCTTGCAAATGGACAGGAAAAAGACGCGGAAGGAATGCGTGGGTGCTTTTAATTTAATATCGACTGACACCGAATTGGAATCGAAAGTTTGCCAAGGACGTGCTCTGGCGTTTAATCCGTATCGGCTGTTTGCCGCTTTAATATTTATTACCTACCCTGCGCGAGATACTTATTTATAAATATGAGCTATTAAATTCCTAAAAAAAACCGCAAGTGGAATATGAATTAGATTTGTTACAAGATTTTACCTTTGCCACTTTATGACATTACTGACGTCCGATTTGATTTGAATGGAATTTTTTTTCTATACTTTTTAGACATAGGTCCACGGCATAATATTATAATGGTGCGACATTTGGCTTTGGCAACCATTTTTATTTTAACGCCTTAACATGTTTTTATTTTATTTACAGTCATAGAAAAGTTACCAAAAAATAATAGGTGTACTCTGTAGAAAATATCCAATGAAATATCGTAAATGTAATAAAACTGTCTGTTAAAAACAGTAGAAGATTTAAGAATCAAGAAGATACGTTAGTTCCCTGTTCACCGTAATTGAACCACGTACAGCAAGATAACTTCGTACGAAATTTTCTTTTCGAGATGCTCGGTTGTACTGCGAAAAATAACGTACGCATTTAAAACAATAAAAACACATTCGCGTCCGTCGGAGGCGTCTTGAGTGAATTTTCGTGGAGGCAGGCCCACACGGGGCCTAGGGAAAACGAGTATTTACCACTCGCTACCCTACGTACTATGTTGTAGTAAAGTTTTGGATGCGGTACTCTAATTACAGTTGCACGTATAAATTAAAAGTTTATTTTCGGCTGAGTGTATATGTTTTAACATGTTTTTATCTGTGTATAGCTAGTATTTAAAGGTTCTATTACTGATATATATTTTTAGTTGTTTAATAGCTTGTTATTAGATTATACATGATAAATCTACCTATAAGCATAGATTTATAATTTAGGTATTTTTTAAATGTATTGATCTATTTCATGTTAATAAACGTGTTACTTCATATAAGGTGAAAGAAATGCTTTCGCCGGATTTTAAGATATTTTGAATGCTTATAGTGCAAGATAAAGAGAAACCAATAACAATCGTCTTTCATCATCTCTCTATTTTAAGAAGACATATTATTAGGGTCACGATTAAGTTATATTAATAAAAAAGTTACTTTGTTAATACTTGGGCATGGGATTTACGACCAGAAATTTGGGAGTTTTCACTCAGGTTAGTATACGAGTACTACCGATCTTAACCACTCCTTACACAAACTTCTTAATTGAAGAGATTTACTAGAATACAAGAAATATGTGAGATACCGTCTTAGAAATTTTGCAAAAGAAATGTAAGATTTCTTCGGGCAACAACATAAATAGTGTTTCAAGTTTAAATTCCAGGTGTTTTAAACATTACATTCTGAGGGAATATTTAACTCTGCAGTACTGGAAATTCGAATACGGCGTTTAGATAGTCTTTAGCCGACTGTAGCAAAGACTAAATGTAAATATATTCGCTCTGATAGACTGGCCCCCAAACTTACAGTACATCTATGTATACACTGACATATTGTAGCTTTAAATCCGTTTCCTATTTCAATAAGCTGAATAAGACTTGTAATGTATTTTGCAAAGAATATTGATTGACAAATATTCCTTACCGTATCTTCAAAGTTATAGTGTTTATATTATCTTAAAAAATATATTTTAGAACATTAGGATATTAGGAGCACTCTTATAATTAGATTTTTATTTCTAAATTCTGTGTGCGATGAACAGTGTCTATGATACAACCTTCGCGATTCTCACACAAAAAGTGTTATGTTGCTGTCATTTTCGCCAACCTAAAATTAATTTAGAACTTAAACAAACACATTATGCTTTACATAAGAATGGTAATTTTTTATGCCACCGTTGATCTTTCGTTAATTTATTATTGCTAACATGTTTTGTATTGCTTCTTTTTACATATTTTTGTCAAAAAGAATATTTTTACCTATACAGCAGATAATAAACAAAACAAAATTAATATAGCAATGTGTAAGACACATATTTGCCCGCATTATTGGTCAGTGAAACATTTACTATTATATCCAAAGATATTTTAAGAAGCAAGTTACGCATAAAACAATAAAGCGCACCTGGCCGGCTCTTATATTCTTATCTCCCCAGCCGGCCGGTGTCAGTGGAGCAAATTTCATTTGGCCCTTCGGTTCGTAGCGGCCCAGGCTCGCCGTGAACTTCGCCCCAACTCGGAAACACGTGTTAACATGACTCGTCTTTGAAAAACTGGATAAGAACCTTATTTATATGGGGCCAACGTACGACGCGACACAAAAGAACATGATGATATTACTGTTAGCTGGGACACGCTAATGTCGTACACTTACATAATGTTATTTACCAGTCACGAATGACTCTCTCTTTTTATGCCTAAAATGTTCGTGGGATGTGATAAACATTATGAGTCTGATATGCGACTCATAATATATGTTTAGAACGTGTTGAACTTAGTAAATGTGTACTGAGTAATAAGAATGGAAAACTTGATATATGTATCGACATTCTCTATGACACACCAATAAACGTTTTGATTTCGCACTGATCTGACGTCAAAAAGTAAAATTCTGCAATAAGGTTTTGCAAGATTATTACTGATATGTCATTGTAACATTCAATGTATGTAGTTTGTAATAGTTCTATATTTCTTTAATCTGTTTACCTTATCTCTACCCCTTAAAGATTACCTAATGATCCGTTTACACCAACTCTGGAAAAAGAGTTCAAGTTTTAATTACAGATATAAGAATTACACTTTAAATGACAAACAAGTTTAGGCGTTAAAATAAAAATGGTTGCCAAAGTCAAATGACGCACCATTATAATATTATGCCGTGGACCTATGCCTAAAAAGTATGGAAAAAAATTCCATTCAAATCAAATCGGACGTTAGTAATGTCATAAAGTGGCAAAGGTAAAATCTTGTAACAAATCTAATCCATATTCCACTTGCGGTTTTTATAAAGTTTAGTGAAGAGTAAGGGTTGAGAATACTGCTAATCGAGAATAGGACATGTTTCTTTATTGTAATCATTGGAATCTATTTTAGAAATAAGTGATAACTAAGACTGTATAGATGTAACAAACTATCATTCAATTAAACTAATAATGAAAATATTATGAACAGCTGCCAATAATAAAATTAAAAAAAAATGGTTTGAAAAAATTTTAGAGAACCAAAGCTTTTTAATAAAAAGTGAAAAATAAATACTTCCACGCATAATCGAAAATACATGTGACGCTTCTACTATAATTGGTAATTTATCAGGTATTTCATCAGGCATTGAATTTATTTCGGGTTTCAGAAACTTTTATTCTCATTAAGAATAACATTCACTTACATGAGAACATAATTATACAAATAACAATATATTTATATGGAGCGGCAAATCCAAGTAGTTAATACAAAGCAAGTAAAAAATAAATAATTAACTTCGAGGGTAAGTGTGAATACTTTGGCTTTTGGTAACTAAAATATTGTAGAACTTGTTCTGTTATCGCAGAGTGCAAAGATCAAGGGTAGCTAGATGTGGTATGCATAGTGTGTAATTAATTTGTGGAGCGTAGTCTAGTATAAGTTCATTTGATGTTATTTATTACATGATTTTTTAATAAAAATTTATACCTTTTGATGTTCTTTGCTTCTTTGATAAGTTTTGGTAGCATATTATACATTTTTGCTCCCTGATACAAAATAGTTTTACTCCCGTAGTTTGTCCGGGGTTTTATTAAGTTTATGTTATTGGCAGACCTTAGTTTAATTTTTTGTGTTAATGTTTTTTTACTAAAATTTATTTGTGAGTGTATAGTTTTCGTGAGTATTTTTCTTACTAATATGCAATTATAGTAGTGATAAGTT